TACAACAATTATTCCTTTCGGTACGTAATGCTAGAATCATCAGTAAATATTTTGGTAATTTCTATATCTTCTGAAGTGTGCTTCCCACTTGATGGTGTGGCATGAACTTTTTCTGTATTCTCTTTCATTCTAATTGTTTCTCTACGGGATTGAGTGGAGTGGTAAATTTGACAAAGGAAAATATGTTTCTAAACTAACAGAGCTAATTGCTAATGTACTTAAACTTCAAGAGAACTGAACTATCCCATGTTCTAAAAATTTACTATATTTTTCCTGAATTAGGTGATTATGCTTATTGGGGCACGTCTGACATTAACATTTTGTCTTGGCTTTAAAGTGCATTTATATGGATTTGTTCTATGTATGGACCTCTATTTCACTGTTTTGTTATGCCGAGGGTCTTTCAAAAATAGCCTATCTACCTTCTCAGAGGTAGGGGTAAGGTCTACCTACACTCTACCCTCCCCAGACTACACTTGTGGGATTACACTGGGTTTGTTGTTGTTGTTCTATGTATGGCTAATTGGTTATCATGCTTATTAATGCTCATTCTCTCTGTCTTTCTTTTCTAACCTCCCAGGTTTACTCACCATCAATAAGTCAAGGGAAATGGTCTATGCTTATTATATCTTGCGGACGATTTCCTATATCATAAGTCAAGGGAGCATTTTCTGTATCTCTGTTGCTTATGCGGTAGGAGTTCCATTTGGTAATTTGCTGACAACATTAAGCCTGCGTTATTTATCAAGAATCTAACTGCAGATTCTCTTTTGGTTTTCAGGCAGATGTTGTTGACGTGAGTAGTAGAGCTGCAGTTTTTAGTTGGATTACAGGCCTTTTTTCTGCATCCCATGTTCTCGGAAATGTCCTCGCACGTTTTCTTCCCGTGGGCTACATTTTCCAGGCACGTTGGTGTTATAGCTAGACCAATTTTGGGAACCATGTTTCTATTATTGTTACTTATCGTGTCCATCCTAATGAACTTTCCTCCTTCAGGTTTCAATAGGTCTCTTGATCTTTGTTCCTGTTTATATGCAAGTGTTTCTAGAAGAGACTGTAGCACCAAAAACAGAGGTGAGCCAAAGTTCGACACTAAAGAGCAATACCTTGAAGATTGTCAAGGAACGATATAACTCAATGCGATATGCTGCAAATCTTGTCACTAGCAGGTAATTTTGCACGTGTCGTCCATTACATTTCGGATTCTACTACCACATGTTGATTTGGTGCACATAAAGATAGATTCAGAATAACTTGCGTGTATTTTCTAAACGACATTTTATTGTTCTCCTCAGCCCAACACTGAAGTGCATTTCTCTTGTATCTTTCTTCTACGAGTTGGGAATGTCCGGGATCAGCGGCGTTTTACTGGTATGTCACCTGCTCCTTTGAATCAAACAACGTTCCTCCCATATTTGTTCCGTCCTTCAGAATCACCAAAATATTAGTACAATGATGAGTTCTTGTTACCTTTTCATGGAATTACAGTGTGAATTCCGACTTTGTCTACATTGATTGGAGACTTATACATGTTATTCTTAATTATACAGTACTATTTGAAATCAGCCTTTGGCTTCAACAAGAATCAGTTCTCAGAAATTTTGATGATGGTGGGAGTCGGTTCCATAGTCTCACAGGTATGCAGAATTTTTGAGCCTTGAGTTCGTTGGACAGCGATATTGAAGCCATTCCGGCTATGTTTCTATAATAGACTACTATATATGTATATATGTAGTGCGTGTTCTGGGCACGTTTGGGCTGGGGGGACCGGTACATCTGTACAGATATGAATATATATTCTAAATAGTGGTGTAATTTTTCTGTTTCGTTGTACTTAAATTTTTCCAGATTGTGGTGCTTCCTCTCATCAATCCTCTTTTTGGGGAGAAAGTGATACTTTGTATGGCCTTGCTTTCATCAATTGCCTATGTAAGTTCCCTTGATTCATTTTTGTACTGAAGCAGACACTTATTCTGAAGGAAAAATAACCTCATACCGCATTTTGTTTTGCAGGCAATGCTCTATGGATTAGCATGGGCACCTTGGGTACGTTACTAATTATTTAAAATAGAATGCCGACTCTTAAAAATGAGAGAATGATGATAATGAATGCTTAATTGTTCCGTGAGGGTCATATCTATGCATATACTCTTCTCTTTAGTAGAGTTTCTACGATTTAGCAAATTGATTTTGATAAGAGAAGAAGAAAATGACACGTAAGGATATGAATGAAAGTCGCATTTCAAATGCACTAATAGACCAAACTCTTTCGTGTGAGTAACTAATTGCATATAACAAAAGCTGTTTTAACATTTTACTTCTGCTCTAAAAGAATACATATCAGTTCATACTCATTTCCATCTCCTCCTTCCCTTCCCTCAAAATTTTAACTGCTTCAATAACCTTTTTTCGTCGTATTGATACCAAAACATCAAGTATCGTTTTTGACTGTCTTTGCTAACACAGGTGCCATATTTAAGTGCTTCTTTTGGGGTCATCTACATCCTTGTTAAACCTTCTGTGAGTAATTTCTGCGAACTTCGTTCATGATTTCACATTATGTAGAAGAGCTTAATACTTGTGGATTTTCTTCTTGATAATCCCGTATCCTTTTACTTTCTTGACAGACTTATGCTGTAATATCTAAAGCAGCACTTTCAGCAGATCAGGTTAGTGAACTCATGCGATTTTAGTCTTTTAGCATAGTATTCTTCATGTATCTCTGCCCAATACATGCCAAAGTCCTTGAAAAGCAAAGCTATTAAATGACCCGCCTCAGCTTTGACACCAAGGGGCAAGAAGATGCTAATTTAGGAAACTTGTTCGCGTCCCATCAAATCATAGACTAACTCAAATCCGTGTTTTTTTTCCGAGATCTGCCTTACTTGTAGTTGTAGCTAGTTAGTAAGCTTAAGATGATATGCTAAAAGAATCTCATTTTCACCTACTTTACTTTATAATTACGTGCTGTCTTCTCATTCCTATTACAGGGCAAAGCACAGGGATTTGTTGCTGGTATTCAATCAGTCGCGAGTTTGTTATCTCCAATTGTAATGAGTCCATTGACCTGTAAGTCATCTTCTATTCACTTAACACAAAGAACTCTAGATGCATCTTAATGAAATCGTGTTTAATCACTGACATAACGTTCATCCAGCATGGTTTTTATCCCGCGATGCACCTTTCAACTGCAAAGGATTCAGTATACTCTGTGCTTCTTTATGCATGGTAAGCTGTTTTTTTTCTTTCTTTCTTTCCGCGACTTTTTCACCTGTCATACCTGTTGATGTTAAAGCTTTAACTTGCACAAATTCCGTCAGGTGGTTTCACTGTGTTATGCTAGCACGCTAAAAGTTGAGGCACCACGAGAGAGGACCTTCGATGAAAATGCAGAGAACATTGAAGCACCACTTTTGACATGATACTTGAGACATTGGTACCCAAGGCTGCCCCTTTATACAACGCCAATAAGTCCGGTCTACGATCTACGTACGATAGAGTTGTAAATCTTATTAAGCTAAGTATGATCTAATTAGATTAGAAAAGGTGTATTCATCTTGTATTAAAATTTGTAGCTCTTCAATGTATCACTTTATTTTTTTGGTCTAAATGAAAGATGTTGGTTTGTACTTTTGTATTTTTGTATCTATGAAACTGGGGTTATGCACATTATATTAGTGAATTCAACATCTTGCCTTTTTACCATTCTAAGGATGAGAAGGTCATGCGCGATGCGGGTTAAGTGTACGTCACGATTTGTCTACGTTAAACTATCTGATTTTATTTTTTAGTTTGTGTGAACACATGCTAAGCATTTATCAAACCATGTAACAATTTATGATATTTAATATATACACGTTATTTATTTGAATAGTGTTTTTTTATTTAATTATAAGTAATAAAAATAATATATTTTAGTTTATTAAATCAATGACTTAACCAAGAAGAAACAACAGTCCACACTCCACGTGACTTTCAGAAGTTCTTTTCTTTAATAAAAAGCATCAATTTCATGCTATTAAATATTCAAGGCACTGTTAGAAAGTTTTTTTCTTTGCCATTTATTAATGATATAAAATAGTGAAAAATTAGAAGTAAGGAGTTATAAATAAATGAAAGACATTTTAAAAAAAATTGATTTAAAAGGAAGGTAAGTCTAACAAATTAAAATATATAAGGTATTGTTTTATCATATTGATACAAGAAACATTATAACTTATAGTATTTTTTTAAATAGTTTATAGTTATTTAAATTATTTTTCAAAATATTAAATTAATATAATTTAATTTAATTTTAAAAATTAATTAAATTAACTTTCGAGAAGTAAAATATAAAAAAATAATATAATACCACCGATTTGAGGGACAAATTAAAGACCACTCCAAAACATGAGAGAAATAATTTTCTAGTTTCATGTCTTTTTTACAAAAATGGTAAGTGGGAAAAAGAAATCTCATTTTCTCCCAAAAATAGGATTTTTTTACCCTTAAATCAACTCATTATTAATTAAAAATTGTGGTCTAAAAAGTCATTACCATTGAGCCAATATAGTGGAGTATTATTTATTGGTTGAATAAAGAAAAGTACTCCCTCTGTCCCAATTTTTGCCCAACAATTTTCAATAGTCAAAACAGTTTACGTTTGACCAGAAATTTACTCGTGAAATCTTCAATTTTTTTTAAAATGAAATTTACATATTTGTAAACTATGTTAAAAATAATATAAGTCACAATAATTGACAATTTAAAATAATTAAAAGATATATGAAAAATTTACAGTCAAAATAGACTTATTTGATCCAAAAAGTTGGTAATTCAAAATAATTAAAAGATATATGAAAAATTTATTGTCAAAAATGGACTTATTCAAATGTCAAAATCTAAAAAAATTCACATAAATTGAGACGGAGGGAGTATTATTTTATTCAACCGCATGTAATATACAACTTGTCATACCAAAAGTGGCTTGCAGGGGGTCAAGTTTCATGCCTTGACTAATTTGTCATCATCTCATCTTTCCACTTTTCTAACTTCATATATTGTTCTAATTTCTATATATACTTTTTTTTGGTAAAGATTTTTTTTTTAAATAATAATATTTTTTTACATGTATATGAGCTATTGAGATAAAAGGGGTTGTGGAGAAAAAAAGATCAAGAAAAATGGAGGGGAATATAAGCAGAGAGCAGTTGAAAATACTTGTGCATTTATTGTTACCATTATGTATATATTGGACTGCTGAAGAGATGTCTGTTTCTATTATTGCTGATATTACTACTAATGCTCTTTGTCCTTCAAAATCCACTTGCTCTCAAGCTATTTACATCAATGGTCTTCAACAAATGGTACTTTTTTTCTCTATCTTTTCCTCTATATTGATTTGATTGTTGATAGAGAGAATATGGTGTTCGAGTCAGCTTGTGTGCTTCTCGACTAGTATACCTGTCATATCCCACAGTTAACTCTATCCACCAAGGCTAGGACACATGAACCTGGTGTTTTTTGTCTTTGCTAAGATTTGAACTTGAGACCTCGTGGTTCCCAATCACTTCATTGACCATTAGGTGATATTATGTTAATTGTTCGTATTTCATTCATTCTATCGGTATGCTCTCAAGTATCTGTAATTGTGATCCGTTTGCTAGAACCAAGGGGTTTTTCCGTAGAAACCTCCACGAACTATAGTTTTTTTTTTTTATGGTTTTTCTGCTTCTCACGGCTGCTCTTTCCACACCTCCGGATATCTGGTGCCAAATTATCGCCCCTTTCCTTATTTCTTTGATAATAGAGTTGGCTATCTTTGTGATATCGATTGAACAAGTTCGTGAAGAGGGCTGGACGAGTCGAATGAGGGAAATCGACTTATCGACAAAAAAGAAGAGTAGCCTCCCTAGACCCTGGCAAAGTCATTATCAATGAATTCCCAAGCAATTCTCAACCAACATATGCTATTCATTCCTGTAAAGATTATAACACACAAGAAGACCCCTTGCCGCTCCGTGGGGGGAGGGATGAGTGATACATCTGGCGAGCGCCGGTGAAGAATGCAAGCAAACATCCTTGGGTGCTTTTATTTACTTCATTATGCCCTGCAAATTCTTCTTGATAGGGGTTTCACTAAGAATTGAACATATGTGCCTCTTCTTATGCTTTACACAATTTGTTGGATGTTGCATCTGTAGTGTTTTTGTAGAATAATTAGTTGTGGGAGGAATTTAATATTTCATGTACTACAAGATTTTGCTCATTAGTTATAGGAGAAGTCTAATACTTTTGTTGTCTACTATTTTATTTATGAGGCTATTTAAAGCCTTATCATGACTTTTGAAATTAAGAGAGTTTTTCATCCTTGCTGCTTGCATCTCTCTTAAAAAAATCATTAAGACAATTGTGTGACCATATCGTTTAAAAGCTTAAATTGTTACAGAGAACACATTTTTATTTACGTTGTATTGTATCCTCAGCGCTCTCATTTATCTGTTTGGTTAATTCATGACTAGGTTATATGTTTGAGTAGTTCCTCCATTGCATCTGTTAGTGGATTGTGCACTATGGCTTGTAAAGGTTCTCTAATTTGCTGCACAAGTTTACTTCAATATTTTGATGAGCTTTGTCTGGCTTATTAGCTCGACTCGGTTTCTTAGAGGACCATTCCTTGACTAAGAGTTACACGTGAATGGCGAAAAGATTAATAAAGAAATGACGACTTTCAAAGAACGTGATCAAGTTATATAGGTTCATGCCTTTGAAATACATAAACACTGGTTATTTGTTAAAATCAGAATGATTAGTATGTAGCTTACTTTATCCGTCTCCTCTATTCTTTCCGATGGACTGTTTCATCAAGTTTTATGCATATCTCTTCAACTGTAGGTGGTTGGAATTTGCAAAATGGTTGTCATTCCAGTCCTTGGTCAACTAGCTGATGAGTACGGGCGTAAACCTCTACTCCTTTTAATCGTATCTACTGCTATTTTTCCCAGTGGTATGCTCTTTCTTCTTAACTTTTACTTTGAGAAGCTTGTAGGAAACAATTACATCTCGCCGTCATATAACCTTTTGCATTAGTTTGCATGACCATTGCCCAAGCTATTGTGTAGCATTAGTTGTTGAATTGATTTCTATTAGCAGGATGAGAAGTTTTAGTTGCGAGAGTTTTGATAAATATCAGCTGTACAAGGAGCTGATTTAAACCTAACTACCTATGTGATGTGCGGTATTCATTCTATTGAAAGATGCATTCACAATTGTTTCACGATTAACATGATGGACAAATTCTTCAAGCATCTATCTTTATATTAATGATAACCTCTTCTCGAAGAAATTCACAAATATACTCTTTCGTATCTCTTTGATGTATCGTAGCCACCAAATTTGTATAACTTCATGCTTCTGTGATTCTTTAAAATGTTTCCATGATGTTATTAATGATCTTTTCTTTGTTTCAGCTATATTGGCTATAGACGAGTCGAAAGGATTCGTCTATGCTTATTATGTGCTGCGGATAATTTCTCATATCATGAGTCAAGGAAGTATTTTCTGCATTTCTGCTGCTTATGCTGTAAGATTTCTATCCTAGATCCTGTCTTGAATGTGGTCTGAACTATATATAAAGAACAGAATTATTTTGTATGCAGGCAGATATTCTTGATGGTAGAAGCAGGGCTGCAGCTTTCGGTTGGATTCACGGAATTTTATCTTTATCCCATGTTTTGGGAAACCTTCTAGCTCGTTTACTTCCTGGAACTTACATATTCGAGGCATGTCTGTTTGATTTCACTTTTCCTACTTTTTTTCTGCAGTTGCTTTGATTTCTCCATATTGAAGTGTCATATTTCAGGTTTCGGTGGCACTTTTGATCATTGCTCCAGTGTACATGATAATCTTTCTTACCGAGACAGTTAAGCTAACTCCAAACCTTAACCAGCATTTACGTTGGTCAAGCAAAGCATACAAACTTGTTCAGGATCGATATAGCTCAATGAGATACGCATTACACGTGGTAACAAGCAGGTCTTACAGTTGTTTTATTTGAGTTTTTTCCATATCATTTAATGATCTTGTACCATTTTCTTCCACTTCCAACTTTTCTCTGGGATAGGAGCATGATTCAACATTTCTTTTTCTTTTTTCGTATGGAGACCTAGGTTCGGACAATAAGTCCTCGTTCATATTCTTAAAAGATTCATTTGTTTTTCCTCCTCAGTTCAACTCTCAAGTGTATTTGTCTTGTTTCGTTCTTCTATGACATGGGAATGTCTGGTATCAGCAGTGTGTTAATGGTAAAATTGTGTTTTCTTCTAAAATTGCAATTACTTAAGTCTGAATATTTGAATGTTTTTCTAAGGGAAACTAAGAACTCACTTAAGTATCTTCCTGATCTTACAGTACTATCTGAAGTCAGCATTTGATTTCAACAAAAACCAATTCTCGGAAATTCTGATGATGGTGGGAGTAGGTTCAATTATCACTCAGGTATTCTTCACAGAGATTCTAGACCTGTTTTCTGTTTTACGAACACTTGTCTTTGCGAATTTTAGCTGTTATATCTGGAACCTGCATAAAGGGTCGTTTGGTAGGATGTATTAGAGAATTTATATACACTCTATTCATCATCATTACTAATCCCAACATTACTAATACACCCTATTCAGTACTATTCTTATACACTCTACCAAACAACCCTTAAGATTCTCCGTCAATTTATGTGAGTGACAGAAGTCCATTTCCTCGTTTTAGTACGAAACCTTCTTATCTGATTTAACTGACTATTAAGTAATTTGATTATTTTGTTGCCCGTGAATCGTGATCATTCCTTTTTTTGAACTTCTTTCACCTTTTGCATTTTTTCAAGATGCTGGTTTTTCCTCTAGTCAACCCATTAGTTGGAGAAAGAGTGGTACTCAGAATAGCCTTGCTAGCATCAATCACATATGTAAGTTGAGTTAACTAACTCATTTTATCACTTATTATCAATTAAACTGCTTGCTAAAAGCATCTATCCTTACGTTATATATATGAACAGGCATTGCTTTACGGCTTGGCATGGGCATCGTGGGTATGTAATCTTGAATCTATGACCTGCTTTATTTTGATTGCTGTCCTTAAAGTTTCTTCATCCCTGGCAAAGTATCCCACACATAGCGTGTATCGGAAAATCAAAGGAAGCATTAATTTGATAGCACTATTTAACTTAAGAGCAGCTGAATTCAGTACTCTTTACTATTGCATTAGAGTATACGAGATAGAAGAACGTTGAGGAATTCTTACATTGTTAGGTGAACTAGACATTTATCTCCTTCCAGTACTCCAATGGGGTTACGTATTGACTCCTCTAATAGCTTTTTCGGCTAAAAGCTCTTGTCAGATGACATGATTTTGACTTTGAACTCGTTCTTTCTGTTACAGGTGCCTTACTTTGGTGCTTTATTTCGGATGGTTTATGTACTAGAGCGCCCTTCTGTAAGTAGTACATCAAAAAATGTGTTGTTTGCGACACTTTAAACATCGTGCAATGATGTTTTATTGATAATCTCGCCTTTTTCTGATTATTTTTGTTCATGACAGACTAATGCTATTGTATCTAAAGCATCAAGCTCATCTGATCAGGTTAGTAAACCATAAGCTTTACTCACAGCAGTTAAGTGCAACTGTCGGTCTAACATCTCTGATACACGCGTATGCTACTGAAACAAAATGTTTGTCCGGTTGAGTGTGAACTAAGAAAAGTCTACTGAAGATACATTTCTTAGTCACTACGAAACATACTCAACGAATGTGGTGTACACTGTATAATCATTATCGTTATTTTTCTTGAGTAATCATTAGTCTATTGAAGATATGTTTATTAGAAACTTCAGTCGATTGCTGTTCTTTGCGTGACAGGGCAAAACTCAAGGATTAGTTGCTGGTGCAGAAGCAATTGGAAGCTTTCTAGCCCCTCTTGTAATGAGTCCATTGACCTGTGAGTAAAAAAACGCGCCTTTCTTTCTTATCGAAGATCTTGTCTTAGCTCGATTTCATTCTTCAATCAAATCTTGTTCGTCTTGGAATTGTTGCAGCTTGGTTCTTGTCTAGCAATGCACCTTTCAACTGCAAAGGTTTCAGCTTGATCTGCGCAGCTTTTGCTTTGGTAAACTTTCTCATACATTTTAATCATGTTAGATACAGAGGCCGCATATTATAATTAGGGAGTGTTCAACCGAACCCATTGCTTGTCTCGGATTATGCAAAAAAGAAGTAAATGTACATAAGATTGACACTCATCTTGCGACCTTTGACACTGAATATTGATATCCTGGATTCGCCTCTGGTTAGACATGCATTGTACCGTTTTGCTATGCTACATTTTTGTGATTTTTAACTCTAGAAACGCGATGTGTTAGGCGATGGCATTTTATTTTGCTTGGATACTACCAGACGCACCATCAACACAAGAAGAAAATGGAGAAAGCGTGGAAGCGCTGCTTCTAGCATAAATATAATACATTTTTTTCTGTTATATATACATATGAACTGATGAATTCTGTTGACATAAGTGAAGATTGTATAGTCGAGTGACAAATGAGAAAATTGCTTTAGGTCACATGCTAGGATTTGAGATGTGACATTTTAACTAGTGCATTTTTATTTGTTGAGCATGTTATGTAAATTTCTGGCTCGGCCACGGATGATAGGTACATAATTAATATTGTAAATGTTCTGTACCTTGTGTATTTGTATTAAAACTGTTTGGATTGAAATGAAAGGGAAGATTTTTTATTTTATTTTTTTTGGTTTAAAATGGAAGAAAAATAGAGAAAATAGCAAGTAATTAAGAGAATTAATATTATTATTTTTATTAAGAGAATTAATATATTCCTTCTTTGTATGATTATTATGAGAGAGAGTCCTTTGAGTTTGATTAAAGATAAAGTATGAATAACATTAACACCAACTATTCAATTTTTATTTTTTTTTGAGATTCAAAGAATCATATTTATTTATGCAATAAAGCTTTCAAAGAATATATAAACGTGAATAAAATTCTTTTAATAATTAAATTATATTATTTTCTTGAATCCAAGTTTGGAATCTTCTTCTTGTTTTTTGTTTGTTGTTTTTTTTCACCTTATAATAAAATTACTACTCCCTTTGTCTCAATCAATATGATACTATTCAGATTTCGAGAGTTAAATAAGAAATTATTTTACCGCAATTTACTCGTATATTTTTAAATATTTTTACTACTGTGATTTATAGTACCTTTTATGTAAGATATTTGTAGAAAAAATTAAAGATTGTAGTATTTCTTAATGCACGATTAAAATAAAGATATTAGACTCTTGAAATTCAAACTATATAAATTTGATTAAAAGGAATAATTTTTTCTTCAATTAACTAAATACTCAAATTTTTCAACTCCCAAACTTCAATAGAAAAAAAAAACAATTAATAACCAATAAAAGTCTTAATGACACAATAAAAGGCCTCTATTTTGAATGTCAAATGGAGAATATTTTATAAATTTTTTTAGCAGCCATTTTAGAACATGTTATTAGGCAATTAAAGAATAACAAGAAAACACAAAACGTAAACCCAAAGCAAAAAACAAAAGAAATGGTCTCCTTAACGTAGCATCAACGACTTCGAATGATTCTAATCAACAAAAATTATTTGTCATAAAGCTAATCTTTCGAATAACCATTTATTATACGAAAAATTTATCCATACTCGATATTTATATTGAATCAAAGAGATATAAAATGTGTTTTTCATACACACATTTATTACTTTTGGGTCCAAATTTTAGTTAGACCCATAACAAAAATTATTTGTCAAACACAGATTGTTACTCCAACTCAGTTAAAATTGCTTTTAAAGTTAATTAGTTAAACACACATTGTTACCTTCAATACGTTTTTTTCGAAAGACAATTTCCTTAAATTTTAATCTTAGTAGATTTTGAAAATTTAGCTAAACAAACTATCAATCATTGATTAAATGATATAATTTTTATTTTTTTATTTTTTTAACTTAAAATTAAGTTATTTGATTTGATTTTATGTAAACATTCGAAATAAATGATGAATAAATATTTATGGAATGGACCCTTTCTCTAAACTTTTATCATTTCCAAGAATCTTTCTAAAACGGCAATTCCAAGTAACACCAAAGTTCCCTTTATATAATTTATTTTTATTATTTATATACACTTTTTTTCTTTTTTATTATTTAATTTCCAACCCCACCAACCACCAAAAGTCTTCTAAATTCCAATTAATATTTAAGCCTCTATTATTGATTCCTTACCATTAATTTCCTTTCTCCAAAGAGCATAATTTTCTCCTATTTATTTTCTTTGCTTATTCACGTACACACATTTTCAACTTTGAAGTCTTTTAACGTTTGGTTCATATCTTTGATTTGATTTCTTGATTTATTTATAAGTACATTTTCGTTCAATTATATTGTTGTTTTGTTTACAGGTATAAGGTACGTAACGAATCTTGTTTTTGGGAATTGAGCGATTGATTTGAAATAAGTCGATCGCTCATATATTTATATAAATTCGTTGGGTTAAGAGTCACAGTTTGTTTGAAAGAAAAAAAGATGGCGGAGGAACAAAGGATGCAAGAAGGAGGAGGGCATAGGCTATGTGCTAATAATTGTGGGTTCTTTGGTAGCCCTACAACTTTGAACCTTTGTTCCAAATGCTACAAGGATCATTGCATGAAAGAACAACAATCGCGAACCGCTCAACTTGCAATGGAAAAGACTCGTCCTCAACAACAACAATCTGAATCAACGTCTACGTACATACCATGTACAAAGTCGTTACCAATTCTTGAAGTCTCACAGCCACGAGAGACAGAGATTGCAACTAGGGCTCCTCAGGTGCAGTCAGATACTGCAGCTGAGGTTCCTCAGGTGCAATTGAATACTGTAGCTGATCAGACTCCTCAGGTGCAGTCGAATCGTTGTGCCACGTGTCGGAAACGGATCGGTTTAACGGGTTTCAAGTGTAGGTGTGGGGTCACATTTTGTGGTTCACATAGGTACCCTGAGCATCATGGTTGTACCTTTGACTATAAGTCAATGGGAAAGGTGGCAATTGCCATGGCTAATCCATTGGTTAAGGCTGAAAAGCTTCACAAAATTTGACTTATTAATTAATTAAGGAGAATTAATATGAACCATTTGATCCATAAACTGGTTGATCAAACGGCCAAGATTGTTGCTAATTGAGCACAAGTTGGTGGATGGACTTTGATTATATATATTTTCTTTTGCACATTCTGTGAAAGTAGTTGTTTCATTAATTAATAATGTAAGTTAGGATATATTTTATTGTTTTTCTTTTAATATTGTATGGTTAATGGTAGGATTTTATTTCTCTAATTTTCTTAATTCTTCATTACTAGTTAATTATTTGCTACATAGTCGAGACTCAAGACTAACCTTTAGAAATTTTTCCGAATTTTATAATCATATAACTAACAATCATATATCGTCAATTATCGTTATCAATCACAATCACTATTATTTATTATATAATTCATTATCAGCCATCATTGTTAATCAATATTATTAGCCAACACTAATGGCCAAAACCATCACCCATAATCATCATCACCGTCAATTACCATTGTCAGTCCACACTTATAACAACGTACCACTAATTGGCAATTGTTATCGCTAGTTATTAGTGTTTGGTCTTTCCTTCTCCGCGTCCGCTCAGGCTTCGCTGACCTATTGCGTGCTAAAAAGAAGAAAGTATGAAAGAATAGTAAACGGAGCACACCGTAGAAAAATTCTAAATAAGAGAAGTCCCTCTTAGATTCGAGAAGAAGGAACCGGACGGAGATTGGCCCTCGAGTGCAAAGGTAGAAGGGAGCTTGACTGCAAGACCCACCCGTCGAGTAGAGACGAAAGTCGGCCTTAGTGATCCGACGATGCCGAGTGGAAGGGTTGTCACTCAACGGATAAAAGTTACTCTAGGGATAACAGACTAATCTTCCCCAAGAGCTCACATTGACGAGAAGGTTTGGCACCTCGAATATGTCGGCTCTTCGCTACCTGAGGCTGTAGTATGTTCCAAGGGTACCATCGATTACCATATAAATTTATTTATTATTGTAGTATTACATTAATTATAATTCTCAATAGAAACAAACTTTATACATGAGAGAACAAACTTTCTTATTGCAACATTTTGAAATTCAGTTGTGTTATTCAAACATATTAATTCTAATATTTAAATGTGTATTCATATTCAAATATTTTAATTTTAATATAAAATAAATAAGACCTAAATATTTGATTTAGAAATATATAAGGTGTATTTTAAATTGAGTGGGAAAATCTTAGTCCATGTTTCGAAAGATGAACTCATGAGGGAAGGTGAGATGAGACATTTTACGTAGCATAGGGCGAAAAGTTGGGGCATAAACCCCAAGGCATATATAGGGTGTAAGTTCCATGGATCATTAAAATTTTAATTTATAATGTAATAAAAATATTATAATAACAAATATATATATATATATATATATATTAATTAATAGTTTATAAAATTAAAAATATAATTAATGAAACACATACATAAGAAAACTTCTAACATGATGTTACAAATATAAATAATGCAATGATATAAATGTTGTTAGGGGATGCAAATCAACTCTAGCATCTTAACTTTAAAAAAGAATCACAATTTTAATAAAAATATATTACTATCATACTATACAATTTACCTCACTAAAAAAATAATCAATAAGCTTAATCAATATTATAATTAAGACATCACTTCTTCATGAATATAAGTAAAATTACTCTCTAATAGAAAAATAATAAAATATGATAATTTTGAGACATTAAACAAAAACATGATCAATAACAAGTGAGGATGATATATATAAAAGTAATGCCAAGTGATACTCAATCTCACAATGTTTTCAAATAGTAAATATGCAACAATATAACTTGTTATTTAAATTACTCTCACTTTTCTTATTTTTATAGATGAAAAATTATTCAATACCATTCATTTATGATGAATCACGAGGGTCAATAAAATTGGCTAGAGAATTCGACACATAATTTGTGTAAGAATTGTTTAGCAACTTCGAGCATTGAACATTAAACAAAATTTAACACATAATTTATGTAAAAATTATTTCGCGAGCCTCAGGCACTGAACATTAAATATATTTAGGACGTTCAATCAAGCGATTAGGGAGTAAGCCTCATAAAACTATGCTTTCGCACCTTTATAATTTCACATTTTTAATCTTTAATCTTCCTCCATTGAAATATCCTCATTTTATCATTTCTTGACAGAGCAAAGTGAGCCATGGAAGTGACTCTCCTTCACTCATCTTCTTCTTCACTCTCCATAATCCCTACATTATCAGCTAAAACCCTAAAAACCCATTTCAAATTCACCCTAAATTTGCCTAACAAATCATCAAAAAATCTCTACTCTTCCAAATTCTGTTGTACTTTTGTGATTTCAAGAAACAGGGCAACTTCAATAACAGCTTCTTCTTCATCTATTACATCCATTTCTCCATCTTTGCCCAATTCTACTACAACTCAAAGCCACTGGATGGTTCTCATGGAAACCCCTCCCAATGGGGTCAGTTCCAAAACTGAAGTCATTGATTACTATGTTGAGACCCTTGAAAGAGTATTAGGCAGGTGAGTATGTTTCATTATCTTGAAAAAAAATTAATTTTTTATGTGTTTTAATAAGTTTTGGCAAGTGTTTTTGGTTAGTGCTTATATG